AACTCGGCTTGGCCGTTCGTTTAAGGGTGCTCGACCGACGTGACCTTGTGCTGTATTCCTAGGCTGGTTAAAAATTCGTTGAGTTTTCGGTCGGTGAATTGCAGGCCGTTGTCGGTCACTAGAGTATGTGGGATGCCAAAACGAGTGATGATGTTCTTCCACAAGAACTTTTGGACCTGATGGGCCGAGATACATGCTAAGGGTTCGGCCTCGATCCATTTGGTGAAGAGGTCCACGACGACGATGAGGAACTTGCACTGTCCCTTGGCAACCGGGAAAGGTCCAAGTATGTCAACTCCCCACGTGGCGAACGGCCATGCAGGAGGAATACAATGCAGCTGCTCGGCCGGTCGGTGGATTAGGTTGCCATGTTTCTGGCATGGTTGACATTTCTTCACAAACATCTCACAATCGGTGTTCATGGTCGGCTAGTAATACCCGACTCGTAGGAGTTTCGCCACGGTCGTTCTTGCTCCTGAGTGGGTTCCACAAATTCCCTCGTGAACTTCTCGTGTCACATACTCGGCTTCGGCGCGGCTTAAGCATTTGAGTAGAGGGGTGGAGAAGCCACGCCTATACAACAGGCCTGCGATGACAACGTATCTGCTGGCCTGAGTTCTTAACCTTTTGGCCTTGGTTGGATCGGCTGGGGCGACGCCCTTGGTGATGAATGCTTTGATTTCTTCCCTCCAGTCGGACGGGTTACTCTGGTCGGGAAGGTCGGTATCCACATTTGCTACCATTTCCTCCTCCACACTTGGGTGACCGATTTTCTGCTGGATGATTGTTCTTAGTTGGCCTGGCTTCTTGGTTGTGGCCAATCTAGCCAACTGGTCGGCTCGGGTGTTGTCTTCACGTGGGATGTGCTCGACCAATACCTCTTGGAAATTTGCTTTTAACTTTTGATAGGCATGGTAGTATTTAATCATGTTGTGATCCTTCACTTGGAAGTTCCCGCCTACTTGGTCGGCCACCACTTTGGTGCCTACTTGCTCGGCCACCACTTTGGAGTCGGTCAAGCACTTGATTCTCGAAGCTCCCATGTCTTCGGCTAGTCTTAGGCCAGCGAGTAGGGCTTCATACTCGGCTTGATTGTTCGAAGCTTTGAACCAGAAGCGTAGTGACTGCTCCAAGGTTAACCCTTTCGGTCCCTCCAGGATCACTCCTGCCCCACTCCCCTAGCAGTTTGAGGAACCGTCCACATGGAGGGTCCACCATTGCTCCTCAAAGTGGCCGTGTGGGTGTAGCTCATTTATAAAGTCCGCCAGGCACTGAGCCTTGATCGGCCCTCTCGGCTTGTAGGTAATGTCGAATTGTGAGAGCTTCACCGACCAGGCCATCATTCTCCCGACGAGCTCGGGTTTGCCCAGGACTTTCAAGATTGGACAGTCGGTGTGTATAATCACTCGGTGGCTTTGGAAGTAATGCCTAAGACAGCGGGAGGTGTGCACTAATCCGAGGGCCACCTTTTCGATCAGTTGGTACCGGGTCTCGGAATCTTGGAGGAGTCGGCTGACAAAGTATATGGGAGCTTGGGTGCCCTCCTTGTCTTGTACCAAAACTAAGCTGATCGCCTCGTCGGATACGGCCAAGTATACCAACAGTGGGAGCAAAGGATCAGGTCTTGTTAGGATTGGCGGCGTCGCCAAGGACGCTTTCAGCGCCAAAAAGGCTTATTCGCACAGTTCGTTCCATGAGAAGGCCGAGGCCTTCCGCAGGAGTTTCGTCATAGGGCTAATTTTGTCGCCTAGACGCGGGAGGAATCTGGATAAGGCGACTAATCTTCCCAACAGACGTTGCAATTCCTTGAGGTTTCTTGGGCTCCGCATGTCTAGCACGTCCTGACATTTGTCTCGGTTAGCTTCTATGCCTCTCGCTGATAGCATAAAACCCAGGAATTTGCCTCCCTTAACCCCGACGGTACATTTCTCGGGGTTGAGTCTCATGCTGTGCTTGCGGAGTTCGCCGAAGATTTCGGCTATTATGTGCTCGGCAGGAGAATTGGACTTGACCACCATATCATCCACGTAAATCTCGATGTTTCGGCCGATTTGCTCTCGGAAAACCCTATCCATTAACCTCTGATAGGTCGCTCCAGCGTTCTTAAGTCCGAATGGAATAACTTGGTAACAAAAGTTGGCGTTTTCAGTGATGAACGCCGTTTTCTCCTCGTCAGATGGGTGCATCCTTATCTGGTTGTAGCCAGAATAGGCGTCGAGGAAGCTGAAGATAGAGTGCCCGGACGCTCCGTCGACGAGTCGGTCGATGCAAGGGAGTGGGTAGGCATCCTTAGGGCAGGCTTTATTGAGGTCGGTGTAGTCGGTGCACATTCTCCATTTTCCGTTCGAATTCCTGACCAGGACCACGTTAGCTAGCCAAGTCGTGTATGTGACCTCTCTTATAAATCTAGCTTGTAACAACTTCTTCACCTCGGCGTTCGCGGCCTTTCGCTTCTCATCCCCCATCTTCCTTTTCTTTTGTGCAACTGGTCGTACGTCTCGGCACACGGCTAATCGGTGGCATAAGAACTTGGGGTCTATTCCTGGCATATCTGATGCCGTCCACGCGAAGAGGTCTCGGTTATCCCTGACTACACATTTGACTCGGTTTGAGTCGGTTTCGCTCATCTGAGATCCCATGTTTGTGACTTGTTCGGGTGATCTGCCCAGTTGAAACGACACGAGATTCTCGACTAGCTCGATTCGTTCTTCGTCTAACCGAGGGTCAAGGTCGATATCCTCCGTCGTGTGTTGCCTTACTACATTCACACCCTTCGCCTTCGGGGAGTCGGCTAGCAGCTGTATTTTGAGGCTGGAGAGATAACATTCTCTTGCTGTTTTTTGGTCAGCATGCACGGTTATCACTTGGTCGTCTCTCGACGGAAACTTCATGCACAGGTGGGGGGTCGAGACAATTGCACCCAGGGAATTAATGGAGGGTCGACTCAGTAAGATGTTGTATGATGTGTTTGCATGTACCACGATGTATCGGATTTTTGATCTCTCGTGAGGACTTCTGGTCGAACCTAAACCGAGTGTACAAGTCAATGCTCCCTCTGGTCATTACCCTTTCGCCGGAGAATCCGATTAGTGGCTCGTGATATGGCTCTAGGCTTTCCTCCAGGATCCCGAGCTGCTTGAACGTGTTCCAGTACAAGATGTCGGCGGAACTCCCCTGGTCGACCAAAGTCTTCTTCACAATGCAATTATGCATTTCCACAGAAATCACCATGGGGTCTTCTTGGACGGGATCGACGCCTCGGAAATCTCGGTCGGAGAAGGTGATCGGAGGCATTTTCGGCGTTCTTGGCTGGTTACGCTATTTATTGATCGTACCGCTCGGAGATGTCTTTTCCGGGCGGAAGATGTGGAACCTCCCCCGGCAAAACCTCCTGCTATCGTGTTTATTATCTTCCTCGGTCGGCTGTTGTCCTCTCGGGAACTTCGGGAGTGGTCTCTCCTTTCGGTTGATCAAGACCTATGGCGTCGGTCTCTCTGCAATGGTGCTTCGCGAGGGTGTTGATCTCACCCTCTTGTTCGATGATCTTGCGGTGTCACGAAGTTCCCGAGGTGACTGATGTTGTGAATTTTACTCGTATTTTAGCACTTTAATAAAAGTGCTCACACTAAAGAGAACTTGGCATGGTCGAACAATTAGGTATGATTCTATCATGACATTAGCTAGCTTAACTATATCTCCTGTAACACCCTACACTTCCAATTAGATTAATAATATATTTTTATTATAAAATTTAATGGGTGGATATTAGAGAGTATTTCAAGGTTGATATTATATTTTATATGTTTATTTAGAACAAATTATATGAGGATTATATTTTATTATAATTTATTATTATTATTATTATTATTATTATTATTATTATTATTATTATTATTATTTATTATTATAATGAGGGGATGGAATAATGATTGAAGAAAATATAGAAACATTTAGTTTCTCTAATTTTAAAACATATAGAATTTTGATCCTTCTATCAAATTGACATTTACTAATTATACTTAAGTGATGTAGCATTTAGGAACATGATATTTAGAGATTAAAAAAAATCATGCAAATAAGATTTATTAATAAAATAAATATCAAATACTTGTTAAAATATATATAATTTTTTGTTATTTTTTTAAATTTTTATATTTATATGTCACATCAATTAGGTGGTGATAGATCATCAAATAACATCAAAATTTAATAATCAATAAATATCATATTGATGATAGGATAAAAACACTAATTTCATCTCTCCAACCACTAGACTAGCTCTAATGTTCACAACTAAATATTTTTATTTCAAAATAGAATGACAAATTACAAATTAATAAAAATAAAGAGACAAAAAATATAATATAACTTAAAATATAAGATAATGAAATAATTTAAAAAATATATATTTTAATTAATATTTAAAAAATTAAAAAGGAATATTTATATAAAAATTTAGTTATTACTTTTATTCCTATGTATAAAACTCAAATACCTCAAGATTGAGAAAAGTAGTTAATCTAATTAATATGAATAAATTTATCTTACTTTTATATATTTTTTTTCCAAAACTATCATTGTACTATTTTTCTCTCTTAATTAATACTTATAATATTACTTACCCTCTTAACAAATTATAATTAATACATCATAATATAAATTTAAAAAATATATTTTAATTAAGAATATTTTAGTTTAAAAACAACTAATACATTATGAATGAGATTTTATATAATGGAACAATTATATATATATATATATATTAATTATTTTTGAATGAATTTAAAAGGAGTGAAACAACATTTTGTATATCTAAAAAATTAAAAGTTATAATTATCGGTAAGAACTAACTTGCAATTAATAAATAAATAATATTAAATGAAGTGTCAGGTAAATATACGTGTCGGTACACTATTGAAAATTAGTCGAAAGTACACTATTCACGTACACTTATAAATAAGAGAATCAAGAGAAATGTTTCATACATCACTTTTAATATCTTTCTAATCTACAATCCTATTCATAGATAACATGGCTGCTTCATCACCATCGTTAAAGTTTGCAGTGCGTAGGTCCCAACCTGAGTTGGTGGCTCCTGCTATACCCACTCCTAATGAACTTAAACCACTATCTGACCTAGATGATATATACATCCTACGTGTCCAGGTCCCGGTGATTCAAGTTTATCGTAACGAACCATTAATGGCTGGGAAAGACCCGGTTGAAGTGATTCGAAAGGCACTGGCAAAAACACTTGTCTTCTATTACCCATTTGCGGGTAGGCTTAGGCAGGGTCCTGGCGACAAATTGATGGTAGATTGTACTGGTGAGGGCGTCTTGTTCACTGAGGCTGATGCAGACGTAACACTTGATCAGTTTGGTGACGCTGTCCACCCTCCATTCCCATGCTTTGAAGAACTACTGTACGAGGTTCCAGGCTCTCGAGAAATTACAAATTCTCCCCTTCGATTATCTAGAAGAAAAATGAGAAAACATGGTTCTGGAATAATCGATTATTCTAGAAATAATCAATTATTTAATGTAGAATGAGTTTTCTAAGTTGATGTTACTGATACAAATAATCGATTATTTGATTCATTTCCATTCAATACGCACAACTGACCACCATATGAAATGCAACATGTATTAACAGACAAAAGAACATCACTTTCAGATACATATGCTCGGAATAATGAGTTGCATGCCATAATACTTCACTTAACCAAGATGAGAAGGAAGGTGATCAGTCTTCTTCCCTCTTAGTACCAATTCAGTATAATGGTGTACAATGCATCATTCACCAAATTCATGCACACACATGCCTATATAAACCTCTCAAAACATCAACCTCTCATCTCACAATACAAAATCACTACTATGCTTAAACAACTAATCAAAACCACATCAACATACAACATGCACAAAGATAAGTACATTTCAAATCTACACCTCCGTAATCCAATCCAAATCCATATAAACAACATATACATACATGCATACATACATACATACATATATATATATAGTATATCTACCAAATAGCTCGGTATTTCCATGGCGTTACAGTAGTAGTTCAACCTTGTCCTTAATTTCTAGGTTAATACCACTTTGGAACCTAGCAATGGTGGTTCTCTTTTCTTCCCTAATTCCAGCCCTTAGCATAAGCAACTCCATTTATTGCCTATATCCCTCCACACTAAGGTTCCTTTGTTGGAGTCTTTGGAGCTTGTCCATTAACTCCCTCTCAAAATAAGGAGGAATGTGTCTTCTCCTTAAGGCACTCCTAAGTTCATTTCAATATTTAATGGATGGCTCTCTCATAATTTATTTTTCTCTCATAAGGGAAGTCCACCAATGCATGGCACTCCCTTGAAAATTAAGGGTGGCCATAGGAACTCTTTTCTCTTCACTCGCATTGGAATGACTGCATTTGGAAGGCTAGAAGAAAGGAAGATGGTCCTATTCCTTATGCCTTATTACTATCTAGAGTGATTGAGAATGTAGGGGTAGATCTTCAGGGGGATAAAAAGATAATTCTCCATGCCTCAACTAAGATTGAGAGGTTTTCTCTACATCATATAGGGATGTTAAAGAAAGAAGACAAGTGGATTTTCAAGGGTGATGTTCCACTCACACCTAAACCAGCGACTGATGATGATGGTGTTCTATCTCATGATGAGGAACAACCACCTCAAGTGGAACAAGAACCGGAACAAAAATCAGAACTAGAGCCTAAGGCATTTTCTCTGTTTGAGTAAATAATGATTAACACAATTGATGTTGTCATGGAGATGACTAGGAAGCATGAGTCATAATATTCTTGGATTCTTGATAGGTTTGACAATTTAGATCATGAGATTGCAAGAAATCAAGGCTCAATTGTTGTTCTATTTTTAAGATTTTTAGTTTCAATTCAGTTTTTAAATTCCTAGTTCTAAGTTTCGATTTGGTTGTAATGGTTTTAATTCTCAAACAATTTTGTTTGGTTTAGTTTCAATCTAGTTGTAGTTTGAACAAGTTTGATTATGGTACAATTTAAATTTGGTTGTGTTTTAAAATTGGCTGATTTGGGATCATGGTTATGTTTGTTTGATAAATTTAAAGCTTTGATGCACAATTGTAATTCTCAAAATGATGCACTTGACATGTGTTATAATTGCTAGTGCATATAAAAGTATCCTCAAGAAAATCATGTTTGAATCATAGACTATTGATCATAGCTTAAGAGTGATAGTATGATATGCTGATCACATATATGTTGTATTTACTTGTGTATGAAATGACAATATATTAGACTAACACATGTATTTGTTTGTCTTGAGATATAATTGTTGAATATGCAATTTTGTTTCTCTAAGTTGGATATATTGGTTTTATTGGCTATACTGTATGTTTTTGATGATGTCCAAAGGGGGAGTAAGGTTAAATTTGTTTTACAGGTCTGACTCTAAGCATAGTTAAGCACATCAATTGTGATAAAATAACAAAGCAAGCAATCTAAACTATTATGGTGATCTTCTTACTTGAGCAAAACATATTTGTGTTTCTCATCATCAAAAAAGAGGAGATTGTTGAGATTCATGGATGTTGAATCAAGTTTTAAGAGTTTTGATGATAACAAAGGACATGAACAAAAGAGAAGACATGAAGACCATAAATGAATACCAAATGTAATAGGAGTAGTTTATGAGTTCTTATGTGTTGAGTTGCTTTGTTGGTCAATTTTATTTTCTATGCATGTTTGTGTTTTGTGCATGAGTTGAATCTTAATTCTAAATTGTCTAAGAGTGGGTATGATGATGATTAAAAGTAACTTGGAAAGGATTTGAATGTGTGAAATCGAATTTTAAAAACTAGCTCAAAATAATCGATTATTACTAACTATAATCGATTATTTCAGCTTTGTTTTTCAAGATGTTAAGAAACCTTGCTATAATAATTGATTATCTATGAAATAATCTATTATTCCAAAAAGTTCTCTCTAGAATAATTGATTATACTGCAAAATAATTGATTATTCTATTCTTGAGTGATTTTCAGAATTCATGAAGAACAAAATAATCGATTATCTTAAAAATAATCGATTATCTGGTTCTGAAAACTTTATAAAAGTGGTTCTCACATTCAAAACCTAAGAGAGAAGAGAATAATATCTAGAATGGATTATAAAAACAAAACAAAAAATTGTGCTATGAATTTGAGTATTTAAAAGTCTTTTTCCAACCACTGGACAGCAAGCAAACCTCAAAAAAATTCACACAAAAATTCAAGGCCAAGTGTTACTATTAATGTTTTGTTTTCACTTTTCTTTTTCTAGATTTTTCTCTTTTGTTTTCTTTTCTTTTTCTTGTATTTTTGTCTCTTTCTTTTCTTTGAATACATAGAGTAAGCACTTAAAAACAGAGGCCAAACAATTAATAAAGAGGTTTCCAAGTGGTGGAGAAAAGAGAAGTAAAAAGAGTAAGAAGTGTAAGTGTACTAGTCAAAAATTTCAACCACAAAATGTTACTAGTTTTAGTACTAGTTTGTTCTTATTTTTTGTACACTTTGATTTTCGCTTTTAATACATTTCTAACTCTGTTTTCTTTTTTTTTTCAAAACAAGCACAAGACACACAAGGAATTGCTAGCCACAAATTGCTAAGAAACTAATAACAAATGAAGTTCACAAAAATTTGACTCTAGAACATGTTAGGACTAATAACATGCATTGGAAACATTTTATGAGCACTCTAAGATTTTTTAATGTTCAGCCAGCAATGACACCATACAAGAACATATATCAATTCATATAGATTCAAAAATAAAAAGGCACAACAAGGATTTAATGACAAGAAAAACACTTACACATGACTCTAAGACAAAACTAGTAGATTAAGAAATGTAAAATGCTTGTATTCTTGTTTCTTTTTGAAAATTTCTTTTTAGACCGAATATTAAGGAGTCCAATGGAAGATAAAAGCAAACCTAAAACATTTAAAAAGACATACAAAGAATACCTTTGCTTCAAGCTTCTAAGCTTGAGAGAGAACAAGCAAACCAGCCATGTGAACACAAGGCAAGGTGGGCGACTCATGGACTTTATTTTACTCCAACTAGTTTTGAAAAATGTTGATTTGGTTTAGTTAGGTTCATCCAATGGGAATGGAACCTAGCTAAATCAAATCTATGAAAAATTAGGAGTAAAATGAGTCTAATATGTAAAATTTAGCCTATGTCCATCTCTTGATCCAATTGCTAGTAACACTGTCTAGCTTGCTAGTCACACTCTCTAGCTTGCTAATGCCACTCCCAATCCTACTACTAGAAAAATAAGAAAAGAGTGTATTTCTAGATTAGGTTAAATGGAGTCAAAGTGCCCAAGTAACCTACCCTAGAAACAATATACAATAGCTAATAAAAGGAAATAAAGTGCATCTCAAATACAAAGGCAAAAATACACCTATACAAGTATCTACTATATACAAGGTACAAGAAATCAACTTTACAATGTATTTACAATAAAGACTCCTTAGATCAACCTTCACCCTTCTTGGTCTTACCTCTTCCAAAGGGATCCTTGGGAATTAGATTTCCATAAAAAACCTTGTGCCACCTTTGAAGAACTTGATCCTTGGAGTAGGCGTCCTCTTCCTTTGCTCATCATCTCATGTTCATGCAAGTGAGGATGCCATCAGGGGGGTTGAATCTGTGTGTGTGTGTGAACGAAGGAATTTTAAAACCATGCTCGTAAAGAGACTCTTTTTTGTCTAATAAAAATATTTTTTTGAACACTTGAAAAAAATGTGCAAGGTTGGCTCAACAAAAGATTTTGTGTCTAGGAATTTATTGTCTGCACATGGGAAATGTTTCTTAAAATAATAAGTTAGGGAAGTGTATTTTCCGTCTGAAGATAGTTGTAGAAAAAGTTAAGTAATGGACAAAATTTTTAGTATGATATATCAGTTAAACAAAATTACGTCTAAGGAATAGATAAAAAGTGCAAAGATTTTTGTACTGGTTCGCTCGACCTGAGCTACATCCAGTCTCCTTCAATTGAAGGGTTCCAATAATCACAATGGATTACAAGTATTATCAACCACTTCTGGTTTGCTAACTTCACTCGTCAGTGTTTATTCTTAAACCACTTCTGGTTCCCCAAGTATTATCAACCACTCCTGGTTCGCCAACTTCACTCGTCAGAGCTAGTATTCTTAAACCACTTTTGGTTCCCTAAGTATTCTTTCAACTAGCCTCTTCAAGCTTTACAATAGATAGATGTTTTGAGTGTGTATAACTCTCACATAGAGGATAGGATGGTTTCTACACTCACTAAGGTATGCAACCTTAGTTTTACAGAGATATGTGTTTTAAGTGTGTGTATTACTCTCACAGAGAGGATAGGATAGTCGCAACACGCACTAAGATAAGTTATCTTAAATTTACAGAAACATACAAGACTATACAGGAAGAGATGTAAGTTTGCTTTTACGTTTGCTTTTCTTATTGCTCGTTATTTCTCTTCTTGTTTCTTCTCTTGTTAGGTCTTAATATTTATAGCCTCGTGACAAATCTGCTTGTTGCTTAAATTTGAACGTGTTCGTTGGAGCGGAGCTTCCCGTTGGCGTAGATAGTGATTCATTCATGGCCATATAGATCTTTCATTTAATGCATTTGATCTTACATTAAATGTTTGCTTACTGAATCTGTGTTACGTGAAGTCTTTTGCGTAGTTTGATCACTTTTATTTATGACTTCAATCATATCCTAGGTATTTGTGTTCTCTTTCCGTCATTGTAGTTGTAGAGGCATTATCTTTTTCTGAAAAGTAGGTGTACTTTCTCTGACACACGAATGCTTTGACTTGTGGATACGCACTTGTCTATCTTTCTTCTTTCTTCTCACAAATTTGATGACTTCGTGTGCTCTTCTATGAGTGTAGACGATATTTGGTATCTCTTGTTGTGAATAGTGGACATCAGATGTTTTTCAATATTCTTCGTCTGCGTCTGGTAATGCATCTCAAATTTGAGTCTCCGTCTGAGAAGTAGACTTTGACTTTTCCTTTTGTTTGGTCAGTTATGAAGATGGAAGACTTTAATTCTGTCTGGAATTTTTCTTCGTCTTATGTTATCCATCGTCTGATACTTTGTTGACCTTCGTTTGGTTGACCATTAAGCTTTATCTAATGTCTGTACAGACATCATCCGGTGTTTAACCAAATTTTGTCTTGTTCTTGATTTAGCCTTGTTTAATACTTGTTTTGGCCTTTCGTCGATGCTTCAGAACTTTGACTGGTAGTACGCCTTGTCTTGTATTGTTGTATTTTTGTCTGGCTTTTGATCAGACTTAGTCTTGATGCTTGATCAACCATCGTCTGATATTTTGTACATCTCAACTAGACTTTGTTTGGTTTGACCATAGTATGTGTAATAACACGTACTTCATTTTTCAGTTTTTCCTATTCTTATATTTATCTGAAACATTAACACACATGTTAGAAATAACAATATGTATTATATTTGTCATGTTCAAAACCTTGTTGGGAATTTCTGTCTGACTTAAGAATCTCCCCCTTTTTGATGATGAAAAATATAATCTATCATTTTGTTTCAGATAGAATATGACATACATACAGGTTTATTCATATCAAACAGTTTATCAAGTTCATGCATGAATTTCATATCATACATTTGAGCGATCGTCAAGCATTTAAGGGTTTAGGGTTCTAAGGCTTTCCCCCTTAGTATATGCTCTCCCCCTTACTTGATTATCCCTTA